CTGCTGCCCTGTGTAGCTCCTTGCCACACACGTTTGGGAGGACTCCCTCGTGCACAGCACCTCTAGCAGAGATCACAGATTGGTGGGCAGTTCTACATCTTAGCCTGGGATGCTGAAACGCTTCATCCAGATCTCCTGGAAACGTGCCCTGCAGAACAAGGCTGGTCTGAGCTTACCTTGATTGGAGAGTACCACTTCCGAGGGGAGGAAGGCCTGCGCATGTTGTTGGCCAGGTTCCTGGGCTCAGGGAACTCGTATTCCTGCTCTGGCATCTTGACCCTGGCGTTCTTGGCCTTCTCTAACTTTGCCCCTTCTTCTGTGGAGCCCTTTTCTCCCCAGCGCACCTGAAAAGATGGCATCGAGGCACGTTACAAGGGTGGCTGCTGCTGAGTTAACGCCCTGCTGGAGGAAGTAAATCCTTGTCCATATTTCCCGAGTGTCCAAATCGAGGGTGAAGAGCAATCCTGGCGCAGGCTGAAAAGCTTTTTTTCTAGACTAGAGCATATCTTTCTTTGTGATTTATGAGAAATGTGAGATTGGGGAAAGTTTTCAGGAAAAAACTAAAAAATTTTGCTTGTAATTTGTATAGGAACGCTGTCCTGGTACCCCAGGCATGAATCAGGATCTTACTGTTCTAGAAGAAATAGATGGTCTCAAACTTCAGGAGTCTGTGCTCATCTCTCAGATATTATATAAAAACAATCTAGGCTCAGATGTACAAAAACAAAGCTTGAAGAAGTTTGTGTCTATATCCTGAGCTTCTTTCTGGGTGAGTTGCAGGGGGATAGCACAGTTGGGCTCACAAGTAAGATCTTTTGGTACGTGAACTTGTATCTAATTACCTCCATTCGTTTGATGCCGCCAACTCCTCGTCCGCCGTAATAAGAGGCATCAACTGTTGGCCACTTCTTCTTTGGAAGACCATCATCATCTTCCTCCTAGAACACAGAAGGAGCGGGTTGCGCTGTTAGGAAGCACAACCAGAGGTGGAAAGGCAGGAACAGTCACAGGCTGTGTGGTCCTTGGAGCCTGGGTGAGCCAGGTCAAGGTTCTGGTCTCTCACTGGTTATTTCCCAGGGGATGTAAACTCATGGAAAGAAAATGCTTCATAATATAAACACCACCACCACTTGAAAGGTACAGTCCAGCTCGAATGTGATTTTTCTGCCTTTATTTTTTTTTTTTAAAGGAGACTGTCTTTCAGCATCTTTACACTGAAGGAAGTAAATTGCTCCCAAGTTGCAAAATCGTTGAAGCAGCCACCAAAGCAGCGCTCAGCCCAGCTCAGGAGCTGGGGGCTTTTGGCTGCCAATCTGGCTGATGTGCTGGCCTCGAGCAACGGTGGCAGGGACCTCACCCCTCCGCCATCCCTTCACTCATGGCTTTGATTAGGGAGAGAATAGCTGCTGCTCCTGACGACATTCAGATATTGCCATGCTAACAAATCAAGAAAATCTCCTTAAGTGTATTTAAAATGAGTCTAGCTAGAGTTCTAGCAAGTGCATTCTATATATTCTATATAACAACTTCACATACGCTCCAACCTTTATAGTGCCTTTCCCTTTAATTTCTACAGTTCAGGCTGTGAACTGGCAAAGCAGAAAAGCAGAGCTCATCAAAAACGTGAAGTATTTCCTGTGAAAAATGTGGAGAGAAATGAAAAATGGTCCTTCTCTCTCTTTCTGTCTTTTTTTTTTTTTAATTTTTCGCAGAGATTTGGCAAAACTCCAAAACTTAGGAGCTTTCCAAAACTGGAAAAGCCCAAAATACTTTGAAATTGAACTCCCTGGTAGGAAAACTTGAAAAACTGGGGAAGGGGAATCAAAGACAAACTGTGCCTTTCATGCCAAGCAAGAGCAGTTCTGTTTTTCAAAATATGCACAAATTCAGCTGCAAAATCTGTCGTGATCTAAAGAAAGAGTGAACAATTGAGTCATAAACACAAAGTTCCTCCCCTTCGTAGCTGACCTCTTTCTCTTGCTCTGGTTAGAGCTGCTGAGGTTCTTTGCTGCAGCCTAACAACTTAATATCTCTGCATGAAGTTTTCCATGAGGACTTCTTTTTTAAAAAAACAAAATAAATGGAATCAAAGCCATCTAAATATTTTCCTTCAGCAATTCTCTTTCTCTCCCTTCAGTTCAGCACAGACTGGACTTCTCACAACAGGAAATACCAAGGTTTAGGAAATCTTCCCCACAAGCCCTTAAAAGCCCTGCAAGTCACTTGAATCTACGATAGGATTGTTTCTGCCAGGACAACAACAGAAACAGCACACGCACAATAAAAAAAAAAAAGACAACAGTGGATGCTTGAAAAACAAAGGAGTCACAAGCTTTCTCCAGAATGAGTCTGTTTAGATGTTTTGAAGGGCACGGGAGGTTATGCAATGCAAGCAAAAAAAAAATAAATCCCACCAGTGATGTCTTACATGCTTGGCAAATACTCTCCCAACACACGTGAGCAGCCAAAGGAAAGCAACTGAGAACTTGGGGGTCGGGGCAGGGAAAGGAGAAGGAAGAGGCGCACGATCCCCGCGTTCAGCATCCCAGCTCGCCGCCCCGTTCACACGACCCGAGCCAGTCAAACAGAGCTGAATTCTCATCTCCTGGCTCGGTTTTGCCCGTATTTTTCTGCGCTTAGCTACAACAGGGTTTTTGCCTGAGGAAGAACTGCAGAAGAAACCTCAGCTCTGACCCAGCAGCAGTGTGAAAAACAGCCCCGGAAAATTCAAGTGCATTTAAGGATGCTGGAAATCGACTGTACAGAACTTGGCATCTTTCCACCCCCAAAATCTGCTTTAGATGGAGCTAGAGTTTCTTTTAAAAAAACAAGGAGGAGGAGGACAGAGCTGCGTTTCACAGTCAGAGATTGAGCTTCATAACTGCTGGATTTCAGCAAACAAAGATCTGTGTTTATCTCAGAGTCCACGCCGGGCTCTCTATACTCTGACCCTGACCTGAGGGAACCTCATCTGTGGGTAACACAAGGATAATTCAGGCTCTGCTAGGGACATCCGAACCACTCAGGGTAAGAATTCTAACGAAAAAAAAGCTTGGACAACTTACCCCTCTCCCTGCCCTCATAATTATTTCCACAGTTGTTCCTGCAAGGCCTGAACCTTGTCAGAATTTAGCATTTACAGAGCTCTGCCTGCACAAAGGGCTGGAAGACATGAAGGGACGATCGTTCCTCTGAGTAAGAGATGTTATCGCCTGATTTTACAGCTGAGGAAACATGGAGGTGAAGACATTGTCCTCGAGGCTCCTGGCTCCTTTTTCTCCCAAAGCTGGACGCGTTTCCAAACTGTGTGGCCACCTCTCAGACATGAAGGCATCGTTCCACTTCCAAGGACACCTCGCTCGGTTCTCAAGAAACGTTTCCTCCCTGCTGTGGAAGGTTTTGATTGTCACGCTGCACTCTGCCAGGCATCTGAACTGCAACTTCATAAACTCATCGCCGCGTTGGTTTTTTCTCTGCTGGTCACCGGCATGAGCCTGCGAACTGTTGTCAGAAAGCACTGACAGGTCACAAGAGCATCTAAGAGAAAATGTTTTACTAGTGCTCTGCTCAGGGGCAGGCTGTGGAAGCACCTCAACTCTCGTGGAAGGACCTCAACTCTCGTGAGGCACCAAAAAATCCACATATAAGCTTAGCCCTGAGACACAAATGCTTGGGAAATCAGCCTTTGAGGGTCAGACGGAAAGCCTGAGTTTATCTGCGGTTCAGATTCTTAACGACCCTGCCTGAAATTCTATTCTCCGAGTGCAAAGCACGGCACGAGGGCGGTTAAGAGAGAAGCCTTGTTCTGAGGAAGAGGAAGAAGAAAGGATGTTGAGTTATTCCCACTCTCCAGCTCAGACACTGAGCTACAGGAAGATGAAGTAAGGTCTTACACAGTCAAGGGAATCAACACCATTGCTCCCATTGCAACTGGGATGGGATTAAACCCAGCTTTCACCGTCTCTACACCGAGTTCGCTGTGCTGGGCTCGCCTGGGTATTCTGCACGGAATTGGCTATAAACCTCCACCCGTCCGTGGTGTAACAGCCACACCTCAGCTGCTGCCAATAACATCCCAAACCTTTTTCTTTTAAGTGCCTGTTTCACGAAAGGTTCCTTTTCTCCTCCTCCCTCCCGTGTTTCCGCAACGCCCTGTAAAAGGGGAGTAAATGGGGAAGGAAAAGGGCTGGCATACCACTGCGACCTGGCTTCATTTCAGGAATAACAGAATACATTTCCTGCCTTGGTGTCTACAGAAAACTCCAATCAGATCCTTTCTCTGGAGCTTATTTTGCTATCTCCCCAGCAAAGCTTTTCAGGAAGAGAGAGCAGAACCATTTGGAAAAGATTAATAAACACCAGTAAGTGAGGGAGCAAGCAGCTCCCCAAGCAGAGGAGTCCCTTTTAGACATTCTCTGGCCTCACGAATGTTCAGTTGTGTGAGAAGGGCATGAGTTCACAGAGATCAAAGCGGTTCAAGCTGAGCAGGTGGTTTCATCCCTCGGTTTGCCATGCCGGGAGTTCAATTCCTCCTTTTCATGGTGGCCTCCCACGACAGTGATAATTACCTTCAGCATCTCATGACTGTGCTGCTGGACAGTCCTTTCTCTCCAGGACTTTCTTGTGTGCGTTTGCTTTGGTGTATGTGGCTAAAATGACAACAGACATAAGAATTATCCAATTACAGGCTGGTTGGTGGCTTGGCTCCGGTGCCACACCAGGGGCGACTGTGGAGCTCGGGTGATAGAGCAGCGTGGAAAAAACGGGCCTGAGCGATGAGGAAAGGGCACGCTCTGGTCAGCTGGTAGATCTCCTGCCTGGTTTTGCAAGACTTCAAGGAACTTTGTGTCCCTGAATCTCTTCTGTGAGAGAAAAACAAATAGAAAATGAAGGCCCAGTAGTGTATTTAAACATTTCTTGGTCATGGTTACAGGGCAAAGAAGCAACAAGAAGAGAGTGTGCCTCTTTGGCATACTTTGGAGGGCTCCGGTTTGTGCACCTTCTGACTGCAGTCACAGTCCCTCCTCCTGTGG